ATCCATACCATCATTTTGCAACATGGAAAAAGTCTCATCATAATCCATACCATATTTTTGTGAGTATCCTTTTGTAACAAGTCTACTTTGTACTTCTTAAATGACCCATTGGGCTTGGTTTTAATATTGTATACGTAACGACAATCAACTTTATGTTTTTACCTCGCTAGAATAACCTTCCCTAGAATGACATTGGGTGATGTTAATACCTTGCTAGTTGTTTCAGATCATGACATTTTTAGGTTATCTTTAATCCTATTTGTGAATGTTACCCTCAATGTATGATAGCTAAGATAATCTGAGAGATCATATGGTGCTGCCTAGTTATGAATTTTAGAAGGAGTGGTGTTCATGTTGTGTGATTACTAGAGAGACAACCGATACTATTTTTGATGTAGGCATTAAAAACCTTAATGTTAAAGTGGATGCTTTGAACGAAAGTGTAGGCAATGTTGCCTCAAAGGAGTAAATCGGGTGAATGATACTGAAATTATTGTTCCCCTATTGGTACATGCCATTTTTCAAGGCATTGCTTATGGTATGCGAGCATGGTTTTTGTTGTAAGTTCATGTATGTGTCAAATGATGATTCATATATCAAAGTTGTGGAATTTTTTTTTTTTTTTTTTTTTTTTTGGGGGGGGGGGGGGGGGGTTGATTTTGATACATCCTTCACACCTAGTATCATAAAATGGTCGGCCATATCTTAGGAATTGACTCCAAATATATCTTTGGTCGGTTTGGATGCTTAATTTTGTTTGTTTAAGTCAACATAAGTGAATTAATAATGTAACGCCCAATTTTTTTTTTTTACCAAGGTACATCCAAATTTATCAAAAATCATTTAAAAGTTTTACAAATAATCTTAGTGTACAATGGCACTCTGGAATACAAGAAATTATCACAAGGATCGTGCTAACAACAAGCATAAGATCGAGTCTGGCGTCACAATAAATCTACCTACAAAACAGATCATCACAAAAACGTAAGCCTCACAGTTTATTAAAATAACAACTACTAAAACATAATCAAATAAATCATAAATCAAACAAATAATGTAAATCATGTATATTCCACATAATTGCACATATGCAATCATTTCATCAAAGGATTCATTTCTTCAGTAATAATCTATCTATCAAATACTCGTCTAATTAATAATCAGTATCTCACTCATATTAAATCTCATGCTCAATGACTAATATATCAAATGTGTTATATCTTCCGACCATAATATATTTATTGATCAAATATTAATCTATTAATATAATCCAATCTCTCATCTATAATCTATTTCTCAACATTTCCTCAATCTCTCAATCAACAATTAATATTCTAAATAATAATAATAAATTATATAATAATCATCATAATTATCATGACTATGGATATTAGAGTAGTGTTACTCACATGGTAAGTCGAGAAGCTTATTCTAGTCTCAGTTTTACTCTTCCACTATCTATTAGCTCGTCACACGGTAACACCTATTATTAAATAATAACTCCCTCAGGATCTGTCCAGACTCACTGATAAATATAATAGGATTAACCCGTAAGCCCATGGCTAAGGTGCTGTTTGTTTTTTCGAAGTAAAAACATCTGAAGTCTGCTGACCACATCTGCAACCCTCTGTGGCAGAAGAGGTGGATCAAACGGCTGCAACATGTAATAAAAAATCTGTTTGTTTTTAACCTCTGTAGACTGCTACAAAAACTAAAATTTTAATACTTATTTTGGCTAAGTACATAAACTCTATTTTTTCAATAAAAGACTTCACATTTAATTTTTCACCTAATTAGCCCTTTTGCAATAAGCTTGAGGTTTTAAACAACTTTTATTTTAAAGTCGCATCCCATAAATTATCATATGTATTGGAAAATTTCACCAAAAACTTCAAAGTGGAGTTTAAAATTTGATAAAAGCTAAACAACCAACATCATGTTATTCACTAATTAACACATAATAAAAAAAATAATCGCCAATACATAATAAGGTCAAAACTTCAACAAATTGTTCTTTTGTCTTCTCCAATCATTCATTATTGTGAGGTAAGTGAACATTTTCCACCACAAAAACAAAGGCTTCTTCGTTGAGGGTAAATTTGTCCAAAGCATGTCCATTTTGAAGTAAAAAAACCAATATCCATTCCAGAATTAATTCCATCACGTAAGTATTGTCAAGATCTCATAACATTTTCAATAAGAAGGGGGTGATATCAGCAAGGGTAAAATCGTCCAAGAAGATTAATTTGAATTGCAAATTCCATTCCACTTCATAGTCTCCCATTAGCGTTACTTTAATTTGACATTGTCTGTAATTTTTTCATTGATTTGCCACGAAAACCATTTCAATCCCTAAGTAATCCAATAAATGTTATAGAACCTGTCCTTATGCTTAAGCTAAAACTTCAAGCCATGAAAAATGATTCATCAGAAAACATAAATGATCCATCAACACTCTGTGATCCCTAATAGTAATATTACCAATACAAACTCCTCAATTCCAAAAAGAACCAAAGCACGACATGCGACTAACTTCTCAATTAATACTAGTCGTTTACTTTAGTGGATGATATAAATTAATGTAGTCAATCTGATTTCATTCTTTTTTTTTTGGAACAAATGGAAGGATATGTATAATCAATCAATTTCAACAAACTTCAATCGATTTCAACAAATAAACAATAACTTAAATCAATTTCAGGATGTGTAAAAAGAAAAGACATGTCGATGATTCAGAGGGCTGTAAAATCGATTTCAACAACATATGAATTGTAAATTAGAAAAAAAACTTACATGTCGATGGTAGTGGTTCACGAGGAAGACGCCGAATTGCTAAGGCGGCGATGACGAAGAAATGGCTGAGGCAACGATAAGAATTGGTTGTGATGATGACAAGATATCAAACGAGATGGGAGGTGAGATCGATGGAAGAAGGAAGAAGAAGGGCTGCGTATGCGATAGGAATATCTGTTCGTTCCTTTTTTTTAAAGGTTTAGAAGTGGTTTAAAGAGGGAAGTCCAATGATGTATGACGCAGAGGACGCACAAAGGTTTTGAAGTTAGAAGGCTTTTAAAAAACAAACAACCGCGGGATGGAAAGTGCTGCGTGTGCGCTGCGCCGCGCAACAATTAGTGGTTTGAAGAGGTATTTTACAAAAAACAAACAAAACCTAAATCTCTCATATCAGGTATTTCTCAGGCAATAGGGTTTATAACACTTGTCAACCAAACATGATATTAATCATAAGATTTTCTCACTAATCTCACAATTAGGTTCATAACAACTCCATATCACAAATACATGTAACCCTTACATGGGTCTAGTATACATAATAATAATCAAATATCATAAATACAATTTATCGGGTAAAAGATACCTCACTGTATCGCGTAACTCAACTCTATATCATTCGTACGCCAACATCACATCTTCGGTATAGACTCCCGAAAATGGCTCCCAATCATACTCAAAACACTCATATTTATACCATGGGGACGCTCACGTCGTGAGCATATACCTCTCACGTCGTAAGAAGTGTTTAAACCGATTTCTACCACGTGCCCTGCTCTTTCGCCACGTGTTTTCGTCGATTGATGCTGCTTACGTTGTGTGGAAACATCCCTCACGTCATGAGGGTCAAAGGTTTGACCGTTAACTTGATTTTCGTTGACCTTCTCAATATAGCAGCGTACTTTCATCAAATCTTCAAACGATCATAACATCCTCATATGGACCCTGTTTTTGATGATCTGTATATCCACAAAATCCACTCAACGATCTCTATAACATTATTTAATTATCTTTTGCTAAATATCATTTCTAAAAATAAAGCAACTCGAGACTTTATCTCATTTACTCAATTCAAATCTATATTTCATGAAATAACATTTGTTACGAAAAACCCAGGTGTTACAAATAGAGATAAAGTGTTGTATTTAGAATGAACTTACCAAATTTGGACCTCTAATATTTATTGGGAGTATAATGAGGTTGGCATGTAGCTATCAAGTACGATGCAGAGGCATGCCAACCATATTTATTAATGAATGGTGATCCATCATCTAATGCCACGAACATAGATGTTTGGAAAACTACTATTCGTATATAGATGTTAAATTTTATTTGTTAGGCCCAAGAAAATGGTGCCGAGAGCCATCTTAACCATCACCTTTGTCAAACCATTGCTGAAGCGTGAGAAATAAGAAGGGTGAGAAATAAAAAGAAATTACTAAGGAAAGAGAAAAACTTCAACATGCCTATTTACAGCCACTCTCTTTAACCTTAGTGCCATGTCCAACCCCAATCCATGACTAGAGATGTCAAAAAGTCCCGTGAAACGCCGTTCCCGTGGGGGCCCTGTCCCGCTTGGAGGAATTTTTAAAAAAAAATCGGGGGCAGAAACGGGGGTAGGAAGACTAAACATTTCGGGAGCGGGGACGGGGATGCACTCACCGTCCCGTTTGCCTGAGTTGACATCCCTATCCTTGACCTGGTTCGAGTGTTGGGACCCACAACTAACATATACCTAAAAGATTAGCCGTTAAAAACAGTGAATTATGTTGAACATAAATTTCAGCTGTTAAAATGGTGGCCCTGGATAACTTGGAATTAAAGGGATTTGAAAAGGATTGAAATCAAGCGTTTGTAGTTTTATAGCTGTCCCAACCCAACAAAGTTCCTCCCGCAATTCTCTTTTCCTTGCCCTTCTCATTCTCTCTTCACAGAGAGGTGCTTCCCATTTATCCTCCTCACAAGAACACACACACACACACACTGACACACACACGCACATCCGGAGAATCTGTTAAATGCGTGCTAATTTGGATTCTTTTGTGCAGTTTATGTGTAAAATCATTCTAGGGTTTTCATTTTCGAGGGAAGATTTGAAGTCCTTTGACTTGAAATCTTGAGGAGAAAGAAGCTAATCAAAGCAAAAGGGGAATCGTTGGATTTGGTCGTCGGAGGTCAAATCCGAGCTCCGGTCGCCGGAAGAAACAAGAATGAGCGCCTCTCGGTTCATAAAGTGTGTGACAGTCGGCGACGGAGCTGTTGGAAAGACTTGTATGCTCATTTCTTACACCAGCAACACGTTCCCCACTGTAAAGTCAATTCAACTTAACTCTCTTTCAAATTTATTCATTAAATTTCTTTCAATCTACTACTATATCTATTCTTTCATCTCATTCCGGTTTAATTTTTCCTCTTACATTCATCTAAATCTAATTGGTTTTACCCGAAACCAAATTGAGTTTTTCTGTAAAAAACAGTCCCCGGTTTAATTTTCTCAAATCTATATCTCGTTCTTGTTCGAATTTATAGGGTTCTTTGTCTGTTCTTCGTAGTTTTTCTTTTCTCCCCAAATTCAAATCGTATATTTTTCTTTCTTTAGAAATCAAAAAGAAAGTGAATACCATCTTTTTCCATCTCCGTAATTTCAGCTTTAATTTTTCTTTCTACCTGTTTCTCCGATTATTACAACCATAAAACATGAGTTTTTAACGTATTCATCTAATTTTCTTGAATTCTAAAGGTTGTATTCTCATCTCCCATTTATGAAAAAAAAAAAAAAATACTGTCTTTGTTTTCTTTTTGCTGAAGTATAGAAAAGAAAAAAATGTGGGATTTGAGTAAAAATGTGTTTCTCATGAGCATATTTTTCTTCATAAAGAAACAACACACAAGACACAATCCCCTCATTCTCATTATCTCATAATCCCATTAATAACGTGAATAATAATTTATCAGATTCTCATTTTTTTTTTTTTTTTTTTTAATTTTATTTTATTTATGTATACAGGATTATGTGCCAACGGTTTTTGACAATTTTAGTGCAAATGTTGTGGTTGATGGAAGCACTGTTAATCTTGGATTGTGGGATACTGCAGGTTATTATTATTATTATTTTTTTTCATAAAAATTGGAATTATTAATTTTTGTTTAAGAAAATGTTATTGGTTGGAATAGGTCAAGAAGATTACAATAGATTGAGACCTTTGAGTTATCGTGGAGCTGATGTCTTTATACTTGCGTTTTCTCTCATTAGCAAGGCTAGCTATGAAAACGTCTCTAAAAAGGTTATTTTGGTCTTTTCACTAACACATCCTTCTTCTGTAACTGTTTATCTTTTTTCAATCAAGTGTTGTCTGTTTGGATAAAGTGATATTTGGATAAATGATGTCTAATAGATATTTGAGAAAACAACAACTATCATATGATTAAGTTCTGTTTTCATGTACCTCAATTACAAAAAAGACCCTTAATAATATTTATTTATGTAATTCATTATTTGATAAATTGAATAGAAATTGTACCATTTATCTATCTTGTTACTGATTTATCATATGTTCTATCATATCGTGTTAAAAATAACATGAAGTTTAATTTTTTATTTTTCAAGCATGGGTCCCATTTACAGATGTTTGATGGACTAATTATCTTTTTTTTTTTTTTTGTTCAGTGGATTCCTGAATTGAGGCATTATGCACCTGGTGTTCCAATAATCCTTGTTGGAACAAAGTTAGGTTAGTTTCTTCTGTCTATCTTTACACTAATTTAATTGCAATTATTCTATTTGCTTTTTGTTTATCTACATTTTTTTTTTCTGATTCATGTTAATCTCTGAAATCTCTATACAAAATTAATACAAATATTATTTTTAATTTGATTCTTGTAGATCTTCGTGATGATAAACAGTTTTTTACTGATCATCCTGGTGCAGTTCCAATTACAACAGCTCAGGTACATAATATATATATATATATATATATATATATATATATATATATATATATATATATATATATATTTCCACTTAACTACTTTCTATAGTGATTAAGTCATTATACTATTTTATAATTGTTTAGAGAGACCATTTTTCATGGGTATCTGTTTTTTTAAAACAGGAAAAAATTTGATAAAATGGTGAAACTACAAGTGCTTTTGTGTATTTAATCCAAGATAAAATTGTTTGTTTTTTTTTTTTTAAATAAAAGATTCAATAATATATTGTTTTATTTTAACAGGGAGAAGAGTTGAAGAAGCTAATTGGTGCTCCTTCTTACATAGAGTGTAGCTCAAAAACACAGCAGGTGACATTTCATTGAAAAAAAAAAACATTAATAATCGGCCTTATTTTAATGACTTTGTGTATTAAGTACAAAAGAAAAGTCATTTTTATTTTATTAAAAATTGATTATGGTTTTTAATTTATATTTTTATACAGAATGTGAAGGCTGTTTTCGATGCAGCCATTAAAGTGGTTCTGCAGCCACCAAAACCGAAGAAGAAAAAGAAGGCAAAGGGTCAAAAGGGGTGCTCCATATTATGAATGAGTTTGCAATTGCAAATGAAGAGAGAGAGAGAGAAGTCAAGTCAACCATGTGGTGCTAATTACCTTTCTACCCTTTTTTCTTAAAAGTACCTGCTCACTTTTGCTTTCTGTCTTAAGAAAAACAAAAACAAAAAAATGTTGTGTTGTGCCAAATATCAATTAGATTGGACTTTGGACAAGTTTGTAACAGCATATCATATGTATATTGTTTCAGTTTAACACCAAATAGTTGAGTGAGGCTATTTTGGGTATTTGTAGTTTGCTTTATTTTGATTGTATGCTTCTTGTAACCCTAATTATTTGGTACCATTTTTTTCTTTAAAATATAAAACCTTATTCTTCTATTTCTTTTCACTTTTTAGATTTTGGATTTTTTTTAAGAGCAATTTTCATGTACTTTAAAATTGTTATTGCTTTATGATTTAAAAGAACTTTAGTCTATAAATCGATTTCGAAATTGGGACAAGATAGAAACCCAAAAATCAAAAACAATATATGGATAGGTCTTCCACTTTCTTTAAATCTGATTTTGAATACGAAGACCAAACAAAGAAGAATGTAATATCAGGAAATGAATTAGAGATCTGATGTTTTGAAATTTGAAGTATATTGAAGGTATTAATCCTTTATTTTTGAAAATTATATTGTATGGATTGAATATTTATCTAAACTGTAGACCCGGAATAAAAGTGTAATACAGTAATAGTAAGCATTTATAGTTTATAATTGGAGTATATGGTAATTATTTTGGATTATCATTATTATTATAAGGTATGTCAAAAACACCGGTTTTTACGGTTTTTAACTTCTCCATTCTTCAGTCTCGAGGGTGTTTTTGTTTTATTAAGTTTATTTAATTTTTTTTTTTTGACTTATTACTGATCTACATAGATATAACCAAAAATAATTTTCGTGCAGTGGAAATTTAAAAAACTTTTTGAAAGCTTCTTTCTTTCTTTCACTATATTTAGGAATTTTAGGTTGTACCAGAATCTAATATTCTTTCCGTCTCAAAATTATTGTCTATAAATGAAAAAAAAAAAAAAAAGAAACATTCAAATTAAATTAATTACTACTATTTTTATACAATAAAATAATAGTTTTGCTATTATTTTATATTTAATATTCTATTAAATGTTTAGATGATGGTATTTTAGTAAAAATATTATTTATTTAATAGAAATAGATTATTATTTTGAGAAAGAAACATAAAGGCTTACGTTTCTATGCGATACAACATCAAACACACAGCCGCCTCCCTTCTTTCTCATGGTCATCGGCTCCTCAAACATTTTCTCCCCTGCTTGCTGTCTATTGCCATCGCCGACACTGTGAAACCGCCGGCCGGCGACCTTCGCACCCCACAGATACAGGTTCGTGTTTTTCAAATTTTTTTCTTGCTTTTGTTCATCTTTTTCCCCTGCTCTCGATTTTCCTTTTCCCCCTGCTTTCCATTGAAATCGAGGTCATATGTGTTTGTTGAAATCGGAATCCGGCATGAAGCTATGTTCTGTCTTTCCAAATGGCGATATGGTCCCTTTATGTTTGCTTTCTGTGTGAGTATTTTTGCTGATGTTACATTTTGTGAAGTTTGCAACTCAGTCACAACTCCCTTTCCATTTTTGCCCTTCGTTTTGGCTACTTTTATCTAAAGGAACATACACATTGTTTTGAATGATGTTTTTAAGATGCTTTGAATGTAATTTAGGTTATGGACACATACATCAATAAGAAAATCTTGCCCTTTTTGTCATTTTTGATTTCTGATTTATTGCTACTTTGTTGCTTTTGATTTTTGATTCCAAGGGCTGTTGAAGTTATCCACTTTTAATTTCTAATTTCAAGGGCTGTTGTGTTCTTTCATTTATATAAGACCAAACATATCCAACAAAGTTAATATTTGCTTAGGTGTTTAATTTTTAATCATCAAAATTAAACAACACTAAGTTAGCATTTAAATCTCTTATATGTTTAGAGAATTAATTAACAAAATTTACTAGAAACCTTTTTCTTGATCTTCTCTAGGGAAGCATTCTCCCATGTTTGGCCATCATTGCATACATCTTATCCAACATCATAACTTGATGAAAAATGGTTTCTTACAACTTTTTTCATTGGGGTGGTTTTTGCATAACCAAACTCTAAGAATCTTCTGATTCTCTTCCAGTGCTTCTTCTTCCTTCTTTCACTTCACTTCCGACTCCGTTTTCCTTTTTTTCATTTGCTCTGCTTTTTTGGGGAATCTTCTGATTCTTGCTTCCATCTCTGATGCGTCGTCTCTACTTCCCTATCTCCTCATTTATATAAAGCCTTATCCAAAAATCGAAACCAGATCCATGTCCTTATATAAAGCCTTTACTATCACTGTTAATTTCATCCCAGCGACAAAATGTGTATATCAGTGTTTCTATGGCAAGCTCATCCACTCTACCCGTTTCTTCTATTGCTCAATCGAGATGAATATCATATACGGTGAGTTAAATTTGAATTTCAACCCATTTTTGTACATTTTGCAAAACAATTCAACCATTTACAGATTCAATTTTGTTCCAATATACTTGAACTTTGGAAGATGAGTTTTTCTTGCTAACTACTTATTGTAATATGATATGATAGAAGATGAATACTTCTGACTAATTACTTTGCTATATATGTAAGACCAACGGAGACACTCCATTGGTGGGAAGGTGGAAAAATATTGGGTGGCAGAGATGTGACAGCTGGCGGAACATGGTTGGCCTCTAGCAGAGAAGGAAGGGTGGCTTTTGTTACTAACGTTCGTGAATTGAACTCAATATCTGCTGCAAAGAGTAGAGGTGATCTCCCAGTTCGCTTTTTGGAGGTTGGTTTTTAAATTTACATTGTATTAAATTATGCCCACCACCTGTTTGTTTTTTTTTTCCTTTTGGTAATTTTGATGATTATAGAGCAAGAAAAATGCCATGGAGTTTGCAGAAGAAATTGCGAAGGAAGCAGATGAATATAATGGATTCAATTTGATAATTGCTGATCTTTTGTCCATGAATATGGTTTATGTAACTAATAGGCTAAAAGGAGATAAGTGCTATGTGACTTCAGTTTCACCTGGGGTCCATGTGCTATCAAATGCAAGTCTAGACACTCCATGGCCTAAGGTGAGCAACTACAATTGCCTATTTTATGCAACAAATTTTCACTTCTTTAGCCAACTTATGCAACAATATTGTGGCCCTAAAAAGAAAAGTTGTTGCATAAATTGGAATACTTGTGAAACACTGTTGCATAAAGGTTAATGTTTTCTTTTTTCTAATATGTATTGTATCTATCTAATTCTGTACTCAGGCTCAAAGATTGGAACATGGTTTTAAAGATGCTTTGGATGAATATGGTGAAGATGAAATTCCAATTGCTGAGTTGATTGATAAACTGATGAGAAACACTGTAAAAGATGACATTAGCATGCTTCCCGGGATTTATGGTCCAGATTTTGAGTATGAGTTGAGTTCTGTATTTGTTAATCTAGTATCTCCAAAGGTAACAATTTTCTCAACTTTCTAGTTTTCTTCCATTTTGTCAAAGATTTGAAGGTGCTGATGTGGCGTTGACATGGGAAAACATATTGGGTTTATACCCATGTGGATGCTACGTCAACATTAGGTTGCTATTTCAAGACCTTAACACTTATATTTGATTCTGAATGTTGGTGATATGCAGAACTATGGTACACGAAGTACTTCTGCATTGGCTGTAAAAGCAAGTGGTGAAGTATTCTTTTATGAAAGGCATCTTGAAAATGGGTTATGGAAAGAGAACACAGAAACATACATGATTGAGAAAATGAAGTGAGGGTTAATGTGTGAAGAAATATAAGTATGTTGCTGTTATGGGTAAAGATATGTAAGTAGTAAGTACGTTGTTATGGGTAAAAAAAATAAAAAGTAACACATGTTGCTATTTCCTGCAACTTGTCTTATTTTTTTTTTAATCTTATTTGGTATGAAAGTTATAGTGTGTGCCTTGAACAAAAAGAAATGATCAACTATAAGTTGATATGATGTATGTGATCTTATTTGTAAGAAATAATGAATTTTGAGAAGTTTGTATTATGTACTAGATCAAATTTGTACTTAATATGGTATCTGGTTATGTATAAGAAAGATAACGATAAAGGAAATAGATACAAGTTTCGTTGCTTGATTGATTGTTATTTATATCCACAAGTGTTTTTGCGTGTTTATTTAGTGTGTGTATTGGTGTATGTGTGTATTGGTGTATAATCTAACCTTTGTGCCCCATAGCTTCATGGATACCAAGCATCAATAAGGTAGAAAATTTACAAATGAGATTCTGGGTGAATAGGATTTACATTAAAGAAGGGGTGCCAGATAAAATGTTGGAAAGAATTAGGGAAATCTTCAGAAAAGTCCCAATATTTACGGAAAAGTTGCACTTTAGTCCCAAGATTTTTTTTTTGAACGAAAAAGTCCTGAAAACCGGCAAAAATTTGCAGTTTGACCCTTTTTGACCGGTTGAAACCGGTACCAAACTAATTTGGGACTATTTCGTAAACTAATCCAAAATATTGGGATTTTTCAGTAAACAAAAAATATTAGGACTTTTCTGTAAACAAAAATATTAGGATTTTTCTATAAACAAAACCTTAATTATTATTATTGTTATTATTATAATTATTATTATTATTATTATTATTATTATTATCATCATCATCATCATCATCATCATCATCATCATCATCATCATCATTATTATTATTATTATTATTATTATTATTATTATTATTATTATTATTAAAAATATAAATAAGAATACTTTTTTTTGAACTTGTTATTATTAATATTGTTACTAATACATATAAATGTATTTAAATGAAAAAATAATATTAATGACATTGTTTAAGGGTGGAGGTGGAGGAGATGTTGCTGCCTTTAGCATTGAAATCATGCATGTTTGCTTGTATATTTTTACTTTTTATATGGCCATTTCACATTTGTTGTTATTGTTTTCAATTAAAAATAATAATACTTAACAATTTAAAAGAAGTTGCATATTTGTAAAATTCTTTATAAATAGTTTAAGTTAGAAGGATTTCTCACTTTGTATATAAAAATGTTTACAGTAGAAGGATTATTTTCCAAATCCAACAGATCCACTACAAACATCTACATAGGTAGCCCATATCAAAATTCAAAAATATTAATTACAATATCTTGTTCAATAAAAAGTAATAGGACATGTTTTTTGGATTAATACTTTTGAATTTTGAATAATACTTTTGAATTATTCCTATTACTTTTTGTTAAACAAAATATTGTAATTAATACTTTCGAATTTTAATATAGGTTACTTATGTAGATGTTTGTAGTGGATTTGTTGGATTTGGAAAGTAATTCTTCAACCTTAAACAATTTTATATACAAAATGAGAAACTCTACTACCTTAAACTATTAATATGCAACTTCTTTCAAATTGTTAAATATTAATATTCTGAATTGAAAACAATAATAACAAATATGAAATGACCATATACAAAGTAAAAATATACAAGTAGACATTCACGATTTCAATACTAAAAACATCACCATCTCCTCCACCTCCACCCTTAAACAATGTTATTAATAATATTTTTTTCATTTAATGCATTTATATGTATTAGTAATAATATTAAAAATAACAAGTTCAAAAAATAGTATTCTTATTTATATTTTTAATAATAATAATAATAATAATAATAATAATAATAATAATAATAATAATAATAATAATAACAATAATAATAATTAAGGTTTTGTTTATAGAAAAGTCATAATATTTTTGTTTACAGAAAAGTCCTAATATTTTTTGTTTACTGAAAAATCCCAATATTTTGGATTAGTTTACGAAATAGTCCCAAATTAGTTTGGTACCGGTTTCAACCGGTCAAAAAGGGTCAAACTGCAAATTTTTGCCGGTTTTCAGGACTTTTTCGTTCAAAAAAAAAATCTTGGGACTAAAGTGTAACTTTTCCGTAAATATTGGGACTTTTCTGAAGATTTCCCAAAGAATTATATATATATATATATATATATATATATATATATATATATATATATATATATATATATATATATATATATATATATATATATATATATATATATATATATATGACGCTGCTGACATTTAAGATTCCCAATGGATTCTTCTTGTTCTTTTCTGCAATGTAAAATGTTATTATGTCTTTTTAAACAATGCATAAGTTAGAAACGACATTGATGATTGTAGGTTATAGTATGCAAACCTTTTAAAAGGAAGAGTGTAAATGAAGTTGTGATAACACATCATGATGCTCATGAAGATATTGCCTTTTGATGTGTGATCCGATGACATTTCAATTGTAATATTAATATTCTAAGAATGGGAAAGTCCTTGTGACTTTTTCTATGCGACCTTTACTCCTGGGTGTAAGAAGCATTATAATTTTCATTATATTGAGCATAAGTAATCTTTTAAGATTGAGATCTGATTGATTTTGTTTTGTTGCTAACATGTTGTAACTTTTGCTGGCGATATGAATTTTATTATCGAATGTTTCAACAAGTATTGCATATTTAAGTTTTTGCCAAATAAGATGACATATTTGTCAAAACCTAATATTGTTCACAAATAGCATACCAAAATGCTATATATGTAATTTATCAATTTCATATGTAATAAAAGACTAAATTGCTTTCATAACTAGATGCACTTTCATTTATTTGTGAATTATAACATCGTATATTTATCTATTTCTTTATTTTTCATCCCAACAACAAACAAATCCCAAAAATAAAAAAATGAAACACCTCTAACCCATGTATGGTATGGGTTCGCCACCTAGTTATTGTTGTTGTTATTATTATATTATTATTATTATTTTTATTATTGTTATTATTATAATTTATCTTTGTTTTTATTTCCTAAAATCTTTAATTTTTTTGACATTTTATATAAATGTATTATTTAATGTTTTTTTTTTGACAATTTTCTTCGTTTACATTATATAATGGTTTTTTGACGTGTTCGAATAAATAAATAAAAATAAAAACATAGATAACTATCACTAATCCTATATAATTATTTAATATTGTTATTTTTATATTATGTTTGTTTTTATCAATCATTTGAATGTATGTTCCTGTTCACTTGTTTATGCAATTTTAATAATTTTTATGGTTATTTATTAGCCGAATGTTCTTAAATGTAATGATTAACAAGTAAAATGTTTATCTAATAACACAAAAGAAGTTTTATGGTTATTAGTTACCTTGTACTAGTTTGATTTTTGTCAATAATTTTATTTAGATTATTTAAAGAAAAATGATTTTATTTCTTAATATGTCATACTTATTGCATAAATAATTCAAATTTTCTTATAATTATTTATGAAAAATATTGAAATAAAACCTACCTTTTTTAAAATGATATATATATATATATATATATATATATATATATATATATATATATATATATATATATATATATATATATATATATATATATATATATATCCCATGCATATTACCTCAACAAAAGTAAAATATTTGCTAACAACTTTTTTTACCGTCTCAAAAATCAATAATATGTTTTTAATCTGATGAAACTCTTAGATCTTTGAGATTTATTGAATATTATTAATAACATGTTTAATTTCGAATCATGCTCTCATTTTTATGACTGAGATGCCAAAGATCACAAACGAGATGTGAATAACAATGCAAACCCGCGCGGCACCCTCAATGTCATTTACGATCTCACATTGACATGTCCGTTTTTACTATCATTTCTACTTTGTAGTCACAAGTTAGTGTGTCGGTTAACCATGCATGCTCCATTAAACGGCTCACAAAGAAACGATGTACGTTTTTATGGATTCACGAACAATTTCATATTTTTCCTAAAGTAACTAGAGTGAGATTTTAATGTATGTTTTAGTACTTATATGTTATACTTTTAAAGTGATTAGTGTTCTATCAGAATCCTTTCGGCTAACGAAAATTCACTACACAAAGAAGTAGTGGGTGAAAATTACACCCATTCGATGATTATATTATAGGTCGTCTCCTTATACCTCTCTTATAATATAACTTTATGATTAAGGCCTAGTCTTGGTTTGACTGACAGTTATTAATCTCATACATATACTATTATAAACTCTTATTGTAAGGATGTATTTTAAACATTCTAAAATTATAAGATTTGAATCTAATTAATCTATTTAACTTTTAAATTATTAATATTGAAATATTTAAGATTAATAATGTTTTATGGATTATATTTATCTTAATTAAACGATTATGTTTATCTTAATTAAATTTTATTTAAATAATATTAATTCTATATTTATCTTCCTTTTTTTTTTTTCGAATTTGGATATACCCCATTACATAAGTAAAGGTAAGATTTTAAATTATTTAAGATAACTATTAAGGGGGTGTTTGGATAGGAAAAAAAGAGATGCTTATTACTTATTCCCACAATAAGCTAATTTAAATGTTTGGATAAAATCCAACTTATTAAACTAAATAAGCTAATTTTAATAAGCATCCCTCCCCATGCTTATTGCTTATTGCTTATTCCCACCACAAATAAGCTATAAACAATAAGCTAAAAATCTAATCCAAACACCCCCTAATTATCAATTAATTATCCTCGAAGGCGAAAAATGTAAGAAAATTTGAATTTGCAAGAACAGGAGGTGTGTCGCGAGGCAAAGGATGCACCATATATATATATATATATATATATATATATATATATATATATATATATATATATATATATATATATATATATATATATATGTTAGACGGTCTAATTTTGTGAGACCGTGAGACACATTTTTTTATTTTTTTTAGTTAATTCAAGTTCCGAAAATAATATTTAAAAAACGAATTTTTTGATTTTTCCATTTATTTTGCATTTTAAAATTATTTTTAGAATATGTACAGTGTAATATTCTATTTAGAATATTTCACGTATTTTAAAAAAAAGGATGTTTTTTTTTATTTTTTTTTAGTTCATTCAAGTTCCGAAAATAATATTTAAAAAAAGAATTTTTATATTTTTCCATTTATTTTGCATTTTAAAATTATTTTTTAGAATATGTCAGTGTAATATTCTATTTAGAATATTTCACGTATTTTTCAAAAAAAAAAAAAAAAAAACGGGATT